TTTCCCTAAGCCACATTTTTTTCAGGAAAGGATTTCTTACATACATTCAAAATCTTCATATATTTTAATAGGATTTTAAACAAACCACTTATTCTAATTATGTCACAATCTTATTTTTAGTCTCTCTAGCTCTTTAGTCCATTTAATTTTTTTTACAAAACTACCATTCTGTTTACCCTTTTTGCTACTTATTTCAAAGTAACAAAGTTTTTCTTTAAGTTCTTAAACTTAAATGAAACCCTTTTTTGTTGTTGTTGAGGACTGAAGGAAAATCCAGTGTAGAAAAAAAGGTCCTTATGAAGGTTCTTGATATCCAAAAATCAATTTACAAGCCATTTCCAATGAAAGTGATTAAGATAGGAAGTGGGCAAACCCAGTATCTCTTTGAAGGCTTCAAACTACAGTTTGGGCAAAGCTAACTTTCCCAGTTCCCAGAGCTCTAAAACTTGTCAGAGACCACTATTTTACAGTTTCATCATGTGGAACATCTGTTATGAAGCACTATGGGTCGTCCCAGATCCTCTCATTAATCTGGATTCATTCACTGGCTCTTTTTTTCTGATGCGGGCGTCAGTTCCCATCTTCCGTTCATCATGCTTCCCATAAAAGATCTAAAACAAATCCTCTTTATGCACTTCAACAGATGCATTGAGTATAATTCTAACTGAGCATTATATATAGTAAAGATATTTTGTTGTGGGAGAGAGAGAGAGAGATAAGAAAATGGAGGTAATTAAAGAAGAGGTGAGAGATATCTCCTAAATATAAAATATATCCATTAGTTAATCAGTAGTTACAAATAATATGGGCAATCTTGTGCTGAATATACTATATGTGGAATGAGAAGAAATTTTGGCTTTTGTTTAATCAGGCACAATTGTTTTATTGAAAAGGTTCAAAAAGATTCCTACTAATGGGTCTGTTTGTTGGCTACCTCAATAAAAGTTGGTACTATTCATGCAACTACTACCTTGTGATGCAGTTCCATAATTACAAGAATATACTTGAAGCATGCCCTTGCAATTACAATTCAAGGTTCAGCACTTAATGGTATAAAACCACATGCCATTAAAACAGAGAATTTTAATATCCTTATTGTTATAAAACAGCAAACCTGCTCAAGTTGTATGTTGACACAGAAAATTATTTTATTTTCAAACTTCTGATCTATTATCTTTTAAATAAGAATGCCAGTTAGAGTATAACACAATATGTACAATGTTATATAAATATAAGTTAGATAACTACAGTACATGCATTTTGAATTCTCAAATTTAAAATAGTTCTTTTTAGAAACTGTTATTTGCAGACAGAACACTAATAGGTTCAGGGTAAAACAAGTCAATGTTGCGTCCTCCATATTAATTTATAAGTAAACAGGCCATATTTTGATATACCACTTCAGGTCTTCTCCACTTTTCCATAAAGCAATACAGTGAGGCCTTACAGAAGGACTCAAGATACTCTATGTGCTGAAATAATATTGTAAAACACCCAGATATTATTGCTTTCTCTTTTTTCTCAGAAAAGAAACAAAGTTTGAAAAAAGTGATATAATTTTTAAATGATCCTTTATAAATCTGAAATCATGTTGTTATTCCAAGAAAATAAAAGGTTATGTAAGATGTGATATGTTAAATTACTAGCACAGGAAACAATGATTTTATATACAAATATTCAATGTAATGATATGAATATTTACAATGGAAGTAAAGCACTTCATAATTTATTTCCCCTCAATTCTCTGGGAAGAAAAGTAAAACAGAGAAGTGTATCTTTAAAAAATAATCCTCTTTTAGGAAGATGTTTTACACTGAATTTTAACAAGATTTGTAGTCTGTCTTCAAGACCAGATTCACTTCACTTTGCAATAACAGACAAACCTCAGATAATACCAATTTAGAATAATTTAGCAAGACTTTTTCTGAAAAGTATGAACCTTGCTATCTAGGTTAGGCTACTCTAATGCATTCTTTATGAAGTATTTAATTATTATTCAAAAAATTCCAAATATTCTAAACTATGGCTGTCTATATGCTAGGGGTATACCATTTTCCAGCCTAATATGAAGCCTTACTATTTTGGCAGCTTTACTCAAAGGCCCATATCCATCAATATTAGCCTGTCCTGGTATAGAGACAGAAGTAGAAAGAGAAAATCTCTTTCTCAGTGTTTATTTTGTGTGCCTCTATGAAAGTCAAAAGGCACAGAAGCTTTGTTAGTTGTGGTCTCCAAAATAAAACTTGGCTTACTGAGTGAGTATTATAGGCTTTTAAGAATGGAGTAAAAGTTTCTGTCATAAAATAATAGCAGCATTTAGCTGACCATGGCAGATGCAAAATAGGTCAAAGAAAATAAATAGGAAGTTTCTGACTTATGGATGGATGACACTGGGAAGGCAAGTCAATGGCAAACCACTTCCATATTTCTCCCAAGAAATGTTGAAAACTGTTGACATTGAGAATGACTAACTATAAACTTTAGCTTCACCTATCTTCTTTAAAAGATGTTATTTGGTTTGCTTATCATCTCTGGATGAGCTTAATTTTAATTTCACACAAAGTTGTTAGTAGTTCATTTTGGTATGACTATGAACTTGAACTCTAATGCTTCAATGTAAATAATTGTATATTTTGTAAATTTGCCCTGGAATTAGGGGGGTATAGAATATATATATATATTCATAAATATCTGGAAAAGTGACACTAATGTATCAAAATTGCTATTTATTAGCACAGGTAGCTTAACAAAAAAAACCTCTTTATATTTAAAGTTCCTGCGTAATTTAGCTAAAAATATAAATCTGGACTTGGGCTATTCAAGGTAATGAAAAGCAACCTCCCTTCAAACTTTGCTACATTATATCTTCAAGCATCTCTCAAAAACAACCATGGTATCTTGAGATGCTGGTCCCTTATGAGTAAGATGCAAAGATCAAGACACATTTTACTCATCTGCACTAAATGCCTATTTGCTTCTGGGCTTATTTCAAAACTGCTTGTTTTTCTTATATTTTCTCCCATTCACTTGGTAGCCCTACTTCATGCTCTATATTTTATATGAAATTTGTAAGGAGCAAATAAAACTATCTGCTTTATGGAAATAAAGGAGAAATGCATTATCATGTAGGTCCAAAATCTTATTGGAATTTATTTGCATTTCAGAAAACCTATTCCTTCTTGTGGGACATTCTGAATATATAGAGTAGAATAACAGAGTTGGAAGGAACCTAGGATTTCTTCTAGTCCTGCTTAGGCAGGAAACCCTATACCATTTCAGACAAATGGTTGTCCAATCTCTTCTTAAAAATTTCCAGTGTTGGAGCATTCACAACTTCTGGAGGAAACTTGTTCCA